CCCGGGCTGGTGAGGCGGGGCCGAGGTTACCGAGCGCCCTGGGGCGCCCGAAGGGGAAGAGCTGGCGCGTTCCGGGAAAAAACAGGATTTTTGTCCTGGAGGGCTGGGGTCTGGGGCATCGCCGGCCTCCGGGGCAGCTTCCCTGCAAACGCCTCAGCGGTCGCGGAGCAGGGCTGGGATAAACAGCACCGCCTAAAGCAGCCTAATAGGTTTATTCCTTGCAGATAAGGCTACGAGCCAGCTTCTGCTGGAGACGGACTGGGAATCCATCCTGCAGATCTGTGACATGATCCGTCAGGGAGATACCCAGTAAGTGCTCCTGGCGTTTGGATGCGCTATAAGTGTAGCTCTCCTTGTCTTCCCAAGGTGAAGCGTCAGGGTCTGGGACCTGTCAGCCCACGGCAGCACGCATCTTGTTATCCCTTTTCAGAGAAGCGTTGGAAAGGCAGCGCAGTGCGCCCTGATGTGCTGAGGTGCTTCCCTGACCTCGGGAGGCACGGGTTACCTCTGGCCTGAAATCCTCAGGGAAACTCAAGCTTGAATGTGCTTATTCATTCTCTTTCCAGTTTGCCTCGGGGGAATCGCGTCGCTCATGAGCTAACTGTACCCTTGTGTCAGGGTGGGGCTTAGCAGGCTATCAGCAGCAGGTGGAATCTCCCCTCCAATTCTTGATTACCTGAGGACGTGTACTCTCTTTCCTTACCCAGAGCAAAATATGCTGTCAATGCTATCAAGAAGAAAGTCAATGACAAGAATCCCCACGTGGCGCTCTACGCACTGGAGGTAATGTCAGCCCAAACTGTGACTACTGCAGGGGTCTGGCTCGTGGGCCAGGGAGCTTCCTGGCTTTTATAAGCCTGCTTCCTGGGCTGCCCTGTCTGCAGAGCATTCCCTGCCCTGCCCCGGGAGTGGTGGAGTCATGGCTTAGAGTTTGCCTTGTCTTGGCTCTACCACAGAGCTTTCATGACTGATCAGGAGGCCATGGGTTTTGTTCTTTAATTCAGTTTCGGAGTTAGAAACAGACAGAGCTGGAACTTGAGACACTGTCCCTGGGGGTCTGTCTCTAAGCAGCAGAAGTACAAAGGCTGCCGTGCGGTTGAAGCGTAGCTGACTCTCCAGTGCGGTGGTGTGGATTTCTCTGGCTTGACTGACACTGCCCTAATGCGACTCGCTGCTTAAATAATACCCCTGCCTTGGTGTGCTGCCTGCAGTAACCTGTAACGTGTGCTGGGACTCATCACGGGCCATAGAGAAGGAAGAAAGTGGCAGGCTAATATTGTCATTTGCCCTCGCAGGTCATGGAGTCGGTGGTTAAAAACTGTGGCCAAACAGTCCATGACGAGGTGGCCAATAAACAGACTATGGAGGAACTGAAGGAAATACTCAAGGTAAATATATCTTATTCTACTATTGTTTTCGAACGAGCTTGTAAGAGAAGCAGCAGAAGGAGAAAATGCGTGCATCCTCTCTTTCATTCCCTTTGTGTAAGGAACAGAAGGGAAACTGGAAATGCGTTTCAGAAAAGAGCAAACTGTATTGCATGATGTGAAGGGATGAGTGTAGGGAGCTAAGGGGTGCCTGCTAGGGAGAGAAGATGTGAGAGCAAAGGTAATGTTTGGCTATTCCTTGAAGTGGGCTAGGAACATGCTGCAAAGGCCTAGACCATTTCATGGTAAATGCTCCTGGGTGAAGTGAATTCCCTCCTGCAGTACAGTATGAGACACACAGGAAGGTAAGCAGCAAGGTAAAAACTGGCAGAAGCTTCCCCTTTATCATGGCCGTTTCATTAGCCTGTGGAATTGTTTGAGGAGCTTTCCAGGATCTAGACCTGGCTGTTTCCACTGACAAGCTATCACTTGCCAATTTGACACAATGTGATGCCTGCAGGATCTCCGTGTGTCCTTGGACTGGAGAATTCCACAAGTGAAGTGGAAATGGGAACTTCTGTCTCCAGCTCCCAGCCCCAGATCAGCAATGCCTAGACAAGAGCTAGTTAGAGGAGTGCTGTTCCTTCCTTACAGCCTCTGTCTTCTGCCAGAAATAGACGACCGGATGACCCAGATATTTGGTGAATGAGCTGTACGAGTCCTATCATCTCACACATGGTAGCTGGGTGTCTCTCTCCTGTCACCTTCCTGTTAGGGCTGGCGCAGTCTCCATGCAGGATCTCCTGCTGAGATAGGAGCACTGCCGCAATGTGACAGCCAGGTATAGTAGCGCAGCTGCTCCGAGCGCTGAGGAGATCAGATCAAGAGATTTTGTGGTTCTCTCCAGTCTGTGTCTGCCTCGGTAGTTTCATAACTGCTGCAGACCCATTCTCCTCCAACCCTTGGAACTTTACTGCTTGCGAATGCCCAATGCTGGTAAAATGGTCTTCGTTCTGATGAGGTTCAGGGCTGTGACATTTGTGGAACGCAGGATTTTGCCAAATCTTCTAGAAGTTTGGAGCTCCAGAAATTGTTTATAAGTCACACTGTGTGGGCCGAGCTCTCGGCTGAAATAGGAGCTTGACAATGCTCCTCTGCTTCTCGGGGGATTTCTGGAGCAGCCGGTCATGTGAATGCGTGATGGCTTGGTCAGCTGATGACAGGGCTGCTCTCAGAGGCTGGCCGGGATAGAAACAGGCTTACCAAGTTTCCTCCGGCTCCTTGAACTGTGATACAACCTTCCCTGCCTCCAAAGGGCACGCTTCCCAGCTGTCCTCACTGCGTCACATCGCGAGTTAGCTTTGGGTATTCCTGGGCAGGAGTCTCGGGGCTGGAGGTGCTGACAGCCTGACACCACCACCCTCCAGATGCCCTCCAGCTGTAGCCGTGAGCTTGTGGTGCCCTGTCAGCGCTCCGGCGAGGCACTCTGCTGTTCTGCCCAGCTGCGTAGCTGTAGGTCCTGCAATTTTCTGAGTGCAGGATGAGCAACTCTTGTGAGATGTTGGGCAGGCCAGTGCTCGTGCCTGCCCTGGGGAGCCACTGTGTGAGTCTCTATAGGTATTTTTGCAAAGCATCGTAACCGCACCCTTTTTCACGTTGGTCCATGCTGCTCTGAAGGACATTTTCTTCTTCATGCTGGAGGGGAGAAGTGGGGAAGCTGAAGGATTATGTAGTCCTTGCTGTGAATTGTCCTTATTGCAGCTTTTTGACAGCTCTTACCTTGCAGAAGTACTCTAAAGTCTCTCTTTCCATGAATGGTATTTCTGACTTCTCTTCTGGGGGATTCACGGCATCCTTTGGGTTTCAGAGTCTTTTTCTCAGATTTTTTTTCTCCTCCTCCCTTTCTGTGCAGAGGCAAGTGGAGACAAGTGTCCGCAGTAAGATCCTGTACCTTATCCAGGCCTGGGCTCACGCCTTCCGCAATGAGCCCAAGTACAAGGTGGTGCAGGACACCTATCAGATAATGAAGGTTGAAGGTGAGGACTCTGTGGGCAAAGGTGGGTGGACAATTGGCAAAGCAGCTCGGCTCTGGAGGAGCACTGCAGGAGAAGGAATGGGTGTCAGGACCCTGCCTGGTGTTAGCAAAATCTGGATTTGCAATACTGAGCTTTTTCTTGGTGCCTGAAACCCAGTGAACCCTTTCGAGTGACTGAATCCCGCTGCAGAGAGAGGACAGCTCCATCGTCCCAGGATTGGGGGCTGCCTTGCTCTGGGCCTCCGGCCCAGCGAGCAGCTAAGGGTTGGCAGTGAGACCTGAAAAGCAGGAGCTGCGAAGGTTCTTTGGGAAACGGGCAGCAAGTCAGCATGTCCTCTGGGAAGGGATTTACAGTGGGGTGGTTCCTTCCTCCCAGGCTTTCGTTAGTACCTCCAGGATGGGTCCAGGCTCCTGCTTTCTGACAGAGTGTCAGTATGGGACTTTCTCTCTTGTCCCGGGCATGGCAGCATTCCCTGTGAGGGAAGGGACGCGCTGCTCTCTCTGCCTCTTTCTGTGCACCAGAACCTCCGCAGGCAGTGGCAAAGCCTGGAGGTCCCGGTCCCCCACCGAGGCGGTGTTGCCACACTCTTGCCATTCAAGGGGTGAGACTCAAAGCCCTGTCTGCGCTTTTTCTTTTCTTGAGCAATAAGCCTTATCCAAAGGGCCCTGATGTCCCTTACAGGTGTATAAGGGAACCCAACAGGGGATTGTCCTGTGCATTCAAGAGCATGGCTGAGAGCCCCATACTTCTCAGACAGCAGCAAGTGCTGTGCAAGCATTGCCCTCTGGCCTCCTGCAGGAGGAAGATTGCTGTTAATTGTGTCAGAGTAAGATAATGGTCAGGGCAGGCATACTGAGCTGGATCTGACGCGTGGCTGGGACCTATGGCACGAGGCTGTAGGCACCACGGCCTCCCTGCGTGCGGGAGCCCTTTCATAATGGGACTCCGTCGCTTCTCCCGCAGGTCACGTGTTCCCGGAGTTCAAAGAGAGCGATGCCATGTTTGCTGCAGAAAGGGTGAGCTCTGCTGGTGGGGAGGGAGTTGGCAGCGCAGGACAGACCTTGCTCTCCTGTCCCCTTCCTACTAAACCTTCAGTTCTTATTCCTGCATTTCACGCAGATTAGAGACCTTGCTGGGCGCATACTGCTCCCAGCTGCCACGTGGGCAGTTCTGGGGTGGCATACAGCGATTTAGCCTAAACTACCAGAAGGAGGGGAGACTTGACCAGAACAGGGAGTTAGTCTCACCTTACCCTACCCGGTGGCCTTCCAGCAGCGTGGCAGCAGGGCATTGCTAACATGATTGCTGTGCAGACACGTTCCTAGAAAATATCTTGCCAACTGGGAAAGCACCACAGTCTCTAGTGACACGAGAGGAGATAACTTGCAGGGATTATTATTTCCCATTGAGCTGCAAATGCTTCCAGTCTCCCCCATTCATGAGAGTGCCTTGGTTAGCAGTAGGAGCTCCTGAAAAGCTCTGTGGAGACACTCTCCTTAAGGCCCTCCCCCACTCCTTACACAAGTTTCCTTAACCTCGACAGGCTCCAGACTGGGTTGATGCTGAGGAGTGTCACAGATGTCGAGTGCAGTTTGGCGTTGTGACGCGGAAGGTGGGTGCCGCTCCTGCCCCTCTGGGTTCCCTGGTCCTGCACAGCCACCTGGGACTCGCAGGACTCCCTGAGCCTGTGTGGAAGTGTGTCAGGGCTCGACCGCGTTCCCTGGCTGCTGGCAGGGGAGTGCCAGGAGCGTCTGAGTGATGTTGTCTAATGGTGAAGGAGTGTCTTGCCACCACATTGATGTCTCCTGTCCTTTGCAGCATCACTGCAGGGCCTGCGGGCAGATCTTCTGTGGCAAATGCTCCTCCAAGTATTCCACCATCCCCAAGTTCGGGATTGAGAAGGAAGTGAGAGTCTGTGAGCCCTGTTACGAGCATCTCAACAAGTCAGTACCCTTTGTGGTGTGTTTCTTTGCATGCAAGAGCTGGGACTGTGAGGAGAGAAGCTTGGCATGGAGCCACCTTTCTGCAGACCAGAGCGAGGGTTTCCCAAGCTGTGCAGGCTGGGCTGGGTTCCCTTCCTTCCTGGGAACGGGGTTTACAGCTGTAGTGTTGTGCAGAGCTGGGGCTCCAGTGTGGAGGAAGGAGCACTCAGTCTGCACTGTCACATCTTTCTGACTACAGGAAAGCTGAGGGTAAAGCTGCTGCCACCTCCGAGCTGCCCCCCGAGTACCTGACCAGCCCTCTCTCTCAGCAGTCCCAGGTGAGTGGCTGCCCTGGTGATCCAGATCTGCTTGTTGATCCCTTTACTGACCACCGCCTCATCTTTCCACTTGCAGCTGCCTCCGAAGCGTGACGAGACGGCTCTGCAAGAGGAGGAAGAGCTCCAGCTAGCTATTGCCTTGTCTCAGTCAGAGGCCGAGGAGAAGGAGAGAATGGTTTGTGCCCTGCTTGGCATCTGGGAGTGGTTGTTGCCACACAGCCCAGATGCATCTGCTAGCTAGGGCAGCTCCTAGCTGTGTAGTAGCAGATCTCTAGGCATGTCCTGGTGTGAGCGAGTCGCAAGGCCTGTGAAATGAGAAGGTGAAAGCAGGCACGTGCTGTGTTGCAGTCCCGAATCCTGGAAACAGGCTGTGCCCAAGCTGCAAGCCCTGGGGCATGCTGGCCTGCGGGAATTGTACAAAGCATGAGGCTGGGTCTGCTGGCCATGCCTGGCCATCGCTAGGAACCTCGCCCACCCAGTGTGCCCAGCTTGTTGCTGACTGGGTGATTTGGAGGAGTCTGGACAGTCCCTGAGTTGATTGTTTTTTCTCTTTTGCAGAGGCAGAAAACAACCTACACCATGTACCCGAAGGCTGAGCCCATACCTGTCACCTCATCAGCCCCCCCGGTCAGCACTCTCTATTCCCCGCCCGTGGTACGTTTGTGGGAACCCCTGAACGTGAAGTGGCTGGACGCAGGCCGCTTCCCTAGCCCAAGCCTGCCTTGCCTGGGGTCAGATTTAATCCCTGTTCTGAAAGAAAAGATTTGCCCCATTCAGTTCCTTGCTCTTTCACAGCACTACTGTGTTTTCAGCAAGAAGGCCTGTACTCAGCCGGCATTTGGGTGCCTCTGCTGCTTCCAGTAGGAGCTGCAGCATGTGTCTGGCTGAAGGAGAGGGCTGTCCCCTTTCAGTCTCTTGCTGGTGCTCAGCATTGGTGGTTGTGCATGGCCAGGTCCGAGCAGGATATCTGTGTGGGAGCTGTGGGTCTCTGGTTTCTCTGTACCGGATTTCCCTGTTTATCTCTTTCCAGAATTCTTCTGCTCCCTTGGCTGAGGACATTGACCCGGAGGTAAGGATCCAGGCCTTAATTAGTCCATGGCACAGGCTCGCTCCCAGCGGGGCTGCGATGCTCATCTTCCTTCTCTTTCTGGCAGCTGGCTCGGTACCTGAACCGCAATTACTGGGAGAAGAAGCAGGAGGAAGTTCGCAAGAGCCCCACCCCGTCAGCACCTCTGTCCCTCACGGAGCCAGCTGCTCAGCCTGGGGAAGCCCACCCTGCCCCGCTCAGTGTTGTTGAGGTAAGAGGGGGCCTGGACCTGTGTCTGGCAGCCTCAGAGGGGTGAGGAGTGCCCGACTCCTTTGTTCAGCCCAGTCACGCAGCTCTGCAGGCTTGCTGCTGGCTCTCGGCATGTACGGGAGAGTTGAGGCTGACTGGCTGCCCTGTCCTTCCAGCAGCAGTACCAGAACGGCGAGTCTGAGGAGAACCACGAGCAGTTCCTGAAGGCGCTGCAGAATGCGGTCACCACATTTGTCAACCGCATGAAGAGCAACCACATGCGGGGCCGCAGCATCACCAATGACTCTGCCGTATTGTCCCTCTTCCAGTCCATCAACAACATGCACCCCCAGCTGCTGGAGCTGCTCAACCAGCTGGACGAGCGCAGGCGTACGTGGGAGCTGCTCGGCCGGGGATGTGGGAGGGCGTCTTGGCGAGGAGTGGGTGGCTGCCAGGGCTTCCCCCAGTGCCAGGGCTTGGCACTGCCATGACACAGCCACTCTGGAGAGAAGCCAGTGCAGAGTGGTCCGTGTGCTCTGTCCCGAGAGGGTCCCTGAGGCTCTCTCTTCCCTCCCCAGTGTACTACGAAGGCCTGCAGGACAAACTGGCACAGATCCGGGATGCCCGTGGGGCTCTGAACGCACTGCGGGAGGAGCATCGGGAGAAGCTGCGCCGTGCAGCGGAGGAGGCTGAACGTCAGCGCCAGATCCAGCTGGCCCAGAAGCTGGAGATCATGAGGCAGAAGAAGCAGGTGAGGCAGGGAAGTGTTTCCAGGGTACCAGGGGCCGCGTCAGCCAGCAGGCCTGCCTGCACCTTGGGCCAGCCCAGGGCTGGCAGGGATGGCTGCCCTGGCAGGAGGGGACGCTGCGCTGTCCTGGCTTCTAGCTATCACGGCCCTCTTCCCACAGGAGTACCTGGAGATGCAGCGTCAGTTGGCCATCCAGCGACTGCAGGAGCAGGAGAAGGAGAGACAGATGCGCCTGGAACAGCAGAAGCAGACCATCCAGATGAGAGCCCAGATGCCAGCCTTCTCGCTGCCTTATGCCCAAGTACGGCTGCTGGGCCAGAGACCCACCTGCAAGGTCCCAGGGACGTGGCCTAAAGCTTGCTTTTCTTCCCTCAACAGCTCCAGGCCATGCCCGCAGCCGGTGGGGTGATCTACCAGCCCTCTGGGCCCACCAGCTTCCCTGGCACCTTCAGCCCTGCTGGCTCCGTGGAGGGCTCTCCTATGCACAGCGTATACATGAACCAGGCAGCACAAGGGGGCACGGCGCCGTACACCGCAATGCCTGTCACAGGGACAGGTACGTCGCTGAGCTGATCCCACATGGGTGGAGGCTGAGTGCAAGGTGGTTGCTTCAATCTCTGCCCTTTCTGCCCCAGATCCCAGCATGGTGAATGCCTACATGTACCAGCCAGGCGCAGGCAGTGGGCAGGCGGCTCAGCAGGGGCAGGCAGTGCCCACCACCACCCCGGCGTACTCGTCCTACCAGCCAACTCCAACGCAGGGCTACCAGGCAAGTGAGGGCAGCGTCCCCGGGCCGTAGCAGAGCAGCTTGCGGCTGGCTGGGGCGTTCTGCGGGGCTGGCGCAATTCACTCAGTGATGGGATCTCTGAGTGGGAAGAAGTGGCTGGTTGGTCCCAGGTCTCTGGATCTGCTGCTGCTGCTTTCACTGTGGGAGTGGGTTGGGGTCAGAGTCGGTTCTGGGCTCCCCAGGGCGCAGAGGGAAGAAGACAGCCTGGTTCCAGCAGAGTGGGGAGAGCGGTGCTGGTCCTGGGGTGTTGGTTTGAGACGAGCCATCGCTGCCTGCACCACCTCTTACCAGCCTCTCCTCCCCAGAGCGCAGCCTCGCAGTCGCAGAGCATCCCGGCCATCTCTCAGGCCCCTCAGTCGGGTGCCATGGGCTACATGGGCAACCAGTCGGTCTCCATGGGCTACCAGCCCTACGGCATGCAGGTGAGCACTCCCTACCGCACAGGCCCCTTCTTGGGCACTGGCAGGGGACAAGGTAGGGTGGTCTCCAGCCCGTGGAGCCTTCCTGGGTCTGCACTGCCGGTGGCAGGGAAGGGGAAGGCCTGGTGGAGGCTGCGGGCCTTCACCTCTGCCCCACGGGCACTGCGTGTCCCCCAGCCCCTCTGACAGCTGCCCCTTTGCTCCCGCAGGGCCTCATGTCCGCCCTGCCGGGCCAGGAAACCGCGCTGAGCAGCTTGCCAGCCCAGCAGTCCTACCTGCCCGGGCAGCAGCCCCTCTACCAACAGGTGAGTGAGTACTGCTGGCCCCGGGGGGTCGGGGACCCGGGGGGGGGGCACTGCGTTTGCTAACGAAGCGCTTCATTTCTTCCAGATGGCACCTGCTGGGGGGCCCCCCCAGCAGCAACAGCCCCAGCCGGCGCCCACCCCGGTGCAGCAGCCCCAGGGCAGCGGAGAGGCCCAGCTCATCTCGTTTGACTGATCGCCGCCGCAGGGAGCGGGGGGATCCCGTTAACACTACTCTTCATCCGAAATCACTTCTCTACTTCAACTCCTCCTGCCCTCTCAGTCCCCGCGTCTGTCCCTGGCCAGGGAGGGGGGACGTGGGACCGCAGGGTCCCAGCATCGGCTCCGGGGCCCCAGCAGCAGCAGAGCAGCCCCACGCCCCGCTCCCTG